AGTGAGACTCCAACTCAAAAAAAAAATTAGCTGGGCATGGTGGCGCACACCTGTAGTTCCAGCTACTTGAAAGGCTGAGGTGGAAGGATCACTTGAGCCCAGCAGGTCGTGGCTGCGGTAGCTGTGAGCATGCCACTGCACTCCTCCTGGGCAACAGAGTGAGACTCCAACTCAAAAATAAATAAATAAATAAAAATGGTACTCTGTTGAAACTTTAGAAAATGTATACCTTTGCATATGTGTCCTAATTTTTCTGGAATATCCTGTAAACAGATGTGTTAGATTTTAGGAGTTTTCAGTTTTACTAGTTATTGCCACTTTGTGCTTCAGCTGTTAGTACCAGTTGACACTCCTACCAGCCATGTTGCTATTTTTTTTTTTTCATTCTGGGTTTGGTCACATTTTTAAGTTTTTTGTTTGTTTGTTGAGTCAGGATCTCACTTTGTTGCCCAGGCTGGCATGATCACGGCCTACTACAGCCTCGACTTCCTAGAGTCAGGCAATCCTTCTGCCTCTATCTCCTAAGTAGCTGGGACTACAGGTGTGCAACACCATGCCCAGCTAATTTTTTGATGTTTTTTGTAGAGATGAGGTCTTGCTATGTTTTCCAGGCTGGTCTCGAATCCTAGGCTCAAGCAATTTTCCTGCCTCGGCTTCCCAAAGTGCTGGGATTACAGGTGTGAGCCACTGCACTCATCCACCTTTTCAAGTTTTTAACTTGATGGAAGGGATGTGACATGTCATTGCTGCTTTCCTTGCTGGGTTTTAAAGCATTCTATTCCCCCTTCCCAGTCCAATGGATGGGACCCCAATGAAATGTTCAAGTTCAATGAGGAGAACTATGGTGTGAAGACCACCTATGATAGCAGTCTCTCTTCTTACACGTAAGTGTCTTGGTACTTCCCAGGTGGTGCAGTTTGTTGTGTGGGATCACTGACAGAAGACAAATCGCTAGATGGTACATAGTTGTAACTCATTCTATTCTGAATGTTATGGTTGTCCCCCATCCCCGCTCCTACTCTGCCTTGTGGAACTGCTCCCTCAGAGATTTGTTCTTTTCCTGTCTCCATGCCACCCCACAGGTAGACTAAACTGCCTTTTTTTTTAAATCTACCCATTTCTTTCTCCTCGAGGTTAAAACATAAGCCTCTGTGTGCTCCTCACATCCAGAGATATGCCTTGGTACTCTGCCTGGGACCCAGTAGATGCCTGTTACATACATGTTAATTTGTTGTAGGAATTAAATAGCCATATGCCAGAACTGGTGATAGGACTAATAGAAATTTTTTCTTATTTTCCTCCTTTGTCCTCTGGCACTGGTTGTGGTCTATGGATGTTCTCTCAGGGTGCCCTTAGAAAAGGACAACTCAGAAGAGTTTCGTCAGCGGGAACTGCGTGCAGCCCAATTGGCTCGAGAGATTGAATCAAGCCCCCAGTACCGCCTGCGGATCGCCATGGAGAATGACGATGGGCGTACTGAAGAGGAGAAGCACAGTGCAGTCCAGCGACAGGGCTCAGGGCGAGAGAGCCCCAGCTTAGCATCCAGGTAATTTGCTGAGAGCAACCAGGGCTGTTTGGGCCTCACTATGTAGGGTCCAGGGTTGGACCAGGAGTTTTTGTGCACTGTTTAAGCTTTACAACCATGTGAAATGTAGGTTAATGCATAGTTATTTCCAATTTTTAGGTTTAGGAGATTGAAGCCTAGAGAGGTCGAATAATTTGCCCAATGTAACAAGGGGCAAAGCTTGTGGATTTAAGGAAAAAACCTTTTTTTCCCAGAATTTTGGTATACTTTCTTTTTCTTTGCGTGTTCATTTGTTTGTGCTATTCCCGTTACAAAAATGAAATATAACTATGTGGTCTGTGTCTTATAAAAACTACTCCTTGAACTACACTGTGGGCCTACCTTTTTCATAGATCAGGAGTAGAATTTTGGAACACTGGCCAGCTTGGTTGGGTCAGGGTTTATGTAACATTAGATCATAAGCTTGTAGTCACAAAACATTTAACTGGGGCAGATCTTCAAGTGGGATAGTGCCTAAGCCAGGCGGTGTGTCTGTGTGTTTGGGGGCAGGGTGTGGTTAGAAGAAGGAAAGACTTCATTTTTCCAAAATGTGTGGGTTTTGTTTCTCCCTGACCTTATTTGAACTTTTTACCCCAGGGAGGGGAAGTATATCCCTCTGCCACAACGAGTTCGGGAAGGTCCCCGGGGAGGAGTTCGATGCAGTAGCTCTCGGGGCGGCCGACCTGGCCTTAGCTCTTTGCCACCTCGTGGCCCTCACCATCTGGACAATAGCAGCCCTGGCCCAGGTTCTGAGACACGTGGTATCAATGGAGGTGAGTTCTGAGATTGATTTAGGGGGCAATGGGGAAGGGGGGAGACAGTAAGAAGGTGGGAGGGATAATTGAAAGGAGATGGATTGGAATGACTATGATGTAATAATGGGTACTCTGCCTCTTCTGACTTTTTCTTCATCTTTTTAAAAAAAAAAAGGCCCTTCCCGCATGTCCCCTAAGGCACAGCGGCCTCTGAGAGGTGCCAAGACTCTATCTTCACCCAGTAGTAGGCCTTCTGGAGAAGCTTCTGTTCCACCTCCTCCTGCAGGTAAAATTTAATAGTGTTGGATGAAGAGATGCGTAGAGATGTGTAGAGAAATGTAAATATGTCAATTGCTAGAATGCTTGGATAGAAGACAATTTGAAGATCTTTTTGGAGTTTGGATTTATCCTTTGTGGGAAGTAACTTTTTCAGTTTCCCTAGTGCAGAAGTCCAAGCCTAGCAATTCATGTGCAATGTCTGGCTGGCAAATGTCTTTTGTTAGGTTTGTTTGGTTTTTTTTTGAGTTGGAGTCTCACTGTCTCCCAGACTGGAGTGCAGTGGCCGCTCCCGGCCACCGCAGCCTCGACCTCCTGGGCTCTGGTGATCCTTCTGCCTCAGCCTTCCAAGTAGCTGGAACTACAGGCGCGCGCTACCACGCCCGGCTAATTTTTGATTTATTGTAGAGATGAGGTCTTACCAAGTTGCCCAGGCAGGTCTCCAATCTGCGGGCTCAGGCAATCCACTCACCTCAGCCTCCCAAAGGCGCGGGATTACAGGCTGAGCCACCGAGCCCAGCTTTTTGTTAGGTTTAAATTAGTTGCCAACATTAAAATATATAGATTTTATAATTATCAAAATAGATGCAGAGTTTTGCTGTGATACCCGGGTTGGTCTCAAACTTTTGGCTTCAAGCAATCTTCCTGCCTCTGCTTCCTAAAGTGCTGGAATTACAGGTGTGAGTCACTGTGCCTGGTCAGTTGCTAACATTTTAAAACAGGAGTTGAGAAAATTTCCAGTATTTGGAATTACAGAAAGTTCTGAGCCTGCCTTGCTCCATTGCTCTAGTTGGCTGGAACAGAATCACAACTGCTCCTTTGGGTTATTCATGATGTCTGTGAGGCTGTTCGCCTACTGTGTTATCTGTTTTGACCTAGACATTTAAGCTTGTGACTCTGGGTATAATAAAGTGTGTATGCTTTCTTGCTGTTTTAAGTAACACCCATACCCACTGCTGTTGATCAGCAGTAACCATTGTACAGCTTCCCCTTTTCTTCCAGTGGGCCGAATGTATCCCCCGCGCTCTCCCAAGTCTGCTGCCCCTGCCCCAATCTCAGCTTCCTGTCCTGAGCCTCCCATTGGCTCAGCAGTGCCAACCTCTTCAGCATCTATTCCTGTGACATCATCAGTTGCAGATCCTGTAGTGGGTTCCATTTCCCCAGCTTCTCCAAAGATCTCCCTGGCCCCCACAGATGGTAAGAGTCAAATGTTTGGGGGCCTTAGACGATGGGAAATGTGGTTCTGGACAGAATGACCTTCAGGCATCTCTCTTTCCTTGCCTAGTAAAAGAACTCTCTACTAAGGAACCTGGGAGAACTCTGGAGCCCCAAGAGCTGGCCCGGATAGCTGGGAAAGGTGAGGGTTTTTTTTTCTGCTGAGGACTAATGCTCTTTTGTTTGAGAGACCATTTTAGTTAGGACGTTTATTGGAATTCAGAAGCAGGCAATGTCTCTTAATTTCTCTTTTAGGATACCCAAGAGTTTCTTTCTTGCTTTCTTCTTTGAGAAAGAACATACTCTATTTTCTCCTTTTTCACTGTTTTTTTAATAGTCCCTGGACTTCAGAATGAACAGAAACGATTTCAACTGGAAGAACTGAGAAAGTTTGGGGCCCAGTTTAAGGTGAGAGAACTGTGGAAAGGAGCTAGTATGCTAAGCAGGGTGAAGGGGTGTGGGGTGGTTTATAGAAGAGACGAAGGACTAGGTGGAATAGAAGAGATGTGATCAGCCGGGCACAGTAGCTCACGCCTATCATCCCAGGACTTTGAGAGGCTGAGATGAGAGGATTGCCTGAGCTCACAGGTTTGAGACCAACCTGGGCAATTTGGTGAGATCTCATCTCTATACTAAATCCAAAAATTAGCTAGGCTTGGTAGTGCATGCCTATAGTTCAGCTACTTGGAAGGCTGAGGCGGAAGGATCACCTGAGCCCAGCCGGTGAAGACTGCAGTGGCTGTGAGCGTGCCACTGTACTCCAGGCCTGGGCAACAGGGTGAGACTCCAACTCAAAAAGAAGAGAAGAGATGAGATCAGCAAGGATGAAAGAAGGAAGCAAGGCCTGGGTCTGGGTTGGACTGTGCTACATGTGGATTTCTCTCCTTTCAGCTTCAGCCCAGTAACTCCCCTGAGACTGGCCTGGATCCTTTTCCTCCCCGGATCTTAATGGAGGAGGCTAAAGGGAAGGAGAAGGAGGTTGATGGCCTATTGACTTCAGAGCCCATGGGGTCCCCTGTCTCCTCCAAGACAGAGTCCATATCGGATAAGGAGGACAAACCACCTCTGGCATCAGTAGGAGGCACTGAGGGGCCAGAGCAGCCCCCACCACCTTGCCCAAGCCAAACCGGCAGTCCCCCGGTGGGCCTCATCAAGGGAGATGACAAGGATGAGGGCCCCGTTGCTGAGTAAGTGGGATGGGAAATTGGGTGGATGTCAGGTTGTTGAGAGGAGCAGGCCATAAGGATTCACTTTACTTTCTCTCATAGACAAGTAAAGAAATCAACATTGAACCCCAATGCCAAGGAGTTCAATCCCACAAAACCTCTACTTTCCGTGGTAAGCTGGAATGGGAAGGTATGGATTTTGGTTTCCATGAGGGAAACTTGGGAGGCGCTTATACAAGGGGGACCCAAAAAAGCTGGAATTATTTTTTTGGAGGGCAGGTCCCCACTAGGTAAGTGTTCTAGAAACTCATTGGCATCAGTATACCAGCTAGTGTCGTGAGAGGCTGCTTTTAGCTGCAGTGAAACATTTTTGGAGATCCTTTCGACGGTTTGCCCATTTCGTGATGGGTGATCTCTGTGAACAACCTGCCCACATGGCGCTGATGTTCAGCAGTTTTTGACCAAAAGCGGCATGACCCCCATGCCCCACCCTCCCGCTTCACCCTGTCTCGGCCCTGAGTGACTTTTTTTTGTTTCCCCGGGTGAAAAAAGTCCTTAAAGGGAAACGTTTTTGCCCATGTGGAAGAGGTGAAACAAAAAACGGCAGAAGCACTAGAGGGCATCAAAATTGACAAGTTCCAAACCAGTTTTGAGCAGTGGAAAAAGCATCTCGATAGGTGTATTGGATCAAACGGAGAGTTCTTTCAAGGTGACTGAAGTTTAAACATGTAAGAATAAACATTTTTTAATAAATAGATTCCGGGTTTTTTTTTTGGGTCCCCCCTCATAGATCAGTGTGGGGGGCACTTGACTTACTGGGGCCATCTGACTGGCAGGCAGTGTGAGGGGACGTTCTAAAAATGTAGGACGATAGTTTTTGTGCTATTTTGGGTAAGATGGACTCAAGTCTTCAGGGTTAGATGATAAGGAATCCTGATGAGTCTGACAAGTATGTTTTGAATTTTTATTTGGTTGTTAGCATTTGGCTTAGAGAGTGTTTGAGTGGAGTAGTTATGAACATAGGATTCCTTTGGGCCGACTGTTTTGGCTTGGATCCCTGTACTTACAGTGTTTGTGATCTTGACCAAGCCACTGAAATTCTCTGCCTCAGTTCCCTTGCCTATATTTAGGTTTGATGTGAGGCTTAATCGAGATAAAGCACAGAATGAGTGTGTATGGCACACAGCATTCCACGAATGCTAGCTATTATTATAGGCATGGCTGGGAGTGGAGGAGAGGGTACAAAAGCTCCTTTGTCTCTTACAGAACAAATCTACTAGTACCCCAACCTCTCCGGGGCCCCGGACTCATTCAACTCCCTCCATCCCGGTGCTGACGGCGGGCCAGAGTGGGCTATATAGCCCCCAGTACATCTCCTACATACCTCAGATCCACATGGGACCAGCTGTGCAGGTAACAGAAAAGAGTGGTTGGGCCCCGAGTAAGAGGGGTGGGATTGGTTGGGCTGGGGGAGGGGTCAGGTCAGGCTTGTTCTGGGCACTTAGAAGTAAGTCATTCCACCTCATCTGTGTTCTTGTCCCTAGGCACCTCAGATGTATCCATATCCTGTATCCAATTCAGTGCCTGGGCAGCAGGGCAAGTACCGGGGAGCAAAAGGTGAGCAGGGTTGGGAGGGGCAGTCAGCGGGGCTGCCAAGTGCCTCCTGGCAGATGGAGCTTGAGCTCTGCTCTATTTTCCCCCCATTCCCAGGCTCCCTTCCCCCCCAGCGCTCGGACCAACACCAGCCAGCCTCAGCCCCTCCGATGATGCAGGCTGCTGCTGCTGCTGGCCCACCTCTGGTGGCTGCCACACCTTATTCTTCCTACATCCCCTATAACCCACAGCAGTTCCCAGGCCAGCCTGCCATGATGCAACCCATGGCTCACTACCCCTCACAGGTGACTGTGGCATAGGTGGGAAGTGGGGATACAGAGCCCCTGCTAGGGCTCCTCTCTTCTCCATAGAGCTGAGTGAGGGAGGCAGGTGGTGTTCTGGGTAGTATTGACTGATTACGAGGTTGGTGGTTGAACTCTGGCTGGGGTAGGACCTGTAACACGGCATTGAACATCTGCGCCTCAGTTTTTTCTTCTGAGGTAGTATTTGTTAGGATTGTTGTGAGTTGCTAAATCAGTAAATAATTGTGACAAGGCCCAAGCAGTGCTGTGCACACAATGATAGACAGGAGGATGCACCTCCCTATTCTGCTGACCACTTCTCTCTGTCCCACCAGCCGGTGTTTGCCCCCATGCTTCAAAGCAACCCACGCATGCTGACGTCGGGTAGCCATCCCCAGGCCATTGTGTCATCCTCCACTCCTCAGTACCCCTCTGCAGAGCAGCCCACCCCCCAAGCCCTTTATGGTGAGTTCTGCTTTGCCTTTCCCTTTACTCTGGAGTCTGTTCCTTGGCCCCGTCTGGTGTGCTCAGCACTGGTTCTCTCTCTCTTTCCTGCTGTAGCCACTGTTCACCAGTCCTACCCACACCATGCCACGCAGCTCCATGCCCACCAGCCGCAGCCGGCTACCACGCCTACTGGGAGCCAGCCGCAGTCCCAGCATGCAGCCCCCAGTCCTGTCCAGGTGCCTGTCATGGGGGACTGAGTGGTTAGGCAAGGAAGGATGGCTGGAAGAGAGGGATATAGCTAGGGGTTTTTCCTCAGCAGGGAGGATCAGATGTCAGGGGGTGGTTGGTCTGGGTATCAGAGGGGTGGGTGGCTCTCTCACCCTTCCCCTCCCCCTGACAGCATCAGGCGGGGCAGGCCCCACACCTGGGCAGTGGACAGCCACAGCAGAATCTGTACCACCCAGGGGCCCTGACAGGCACGCCGCCCTCTCTGCCACCGGGACCTTCTGCCCAGTCCCCTCAGAGCAGCTTCCCCCAGCCAGCCGCTGTGTATGCCATCCATGCCCACCAGCAGCTGCCCCACGGCTTCACCAACATGGCCCATGTTACCCAGGTGAGACCCTAAGGGACCCACTTCCTCTGGGACTATTTGCTAGAGAACGGGAGCCACGGGGCTGTCCCTTTCCAGAGTCCTTGGCACTGCCTTTGCACTGTGTTCCCTGACACCAAGGCTTTCAGCCTATCTCCCACTTTTGTGGTACTCTCAGCTACTTTTTTTTTCTACAGGCCCATGTCCAAACTGGAATCACAGCAGCCCCGCCCCCTCACCCTGGGGCTCCCCACCCGCCCCAGGTGATGCTGCTGCACCCACCCCAGAGTCATGGGGGGCCCCCCCAAGGCGCGGTGCCCCAGAGTGGGGTGCCTGCACTCTCAGCTTCCACACCCTCACCCTACCCCTACATCGGACACCCCCAAGGTGAGCAGCCTGGCCAGGCGCCTGGATTTCCAGGAGGAGCCGATGACAGGATTCGTGAGTTCTCGTTAGGTGGGGGAATTTGGCATGGAAGAGCTGAGGGGCTGCAGGTGGGGCAGGATGCACGGGTTCTGGGTGGGGAATGAGGGGTCTTGGAGGCAGGGCTGTCCCACAGGGCGCCCGCCGACCTGCACCTGTCTGTGAAGTATGTAGGGTGGGCAGAAGCCACAGTCGCCGCCGCCAGGGGCTTGCTCCTGGCTCTGTCCTTTGCTTCCCTCCGTCCTCGCTCAGTTGTGATCCAGCAGCCCCCCTCCCCACTGCCTCCCCAGCTCTCAGTGACCCCGACTGTCTCCTGACTTAGCCGAGGTAAGGTCAGCGCAGCAGACAGGGCCAGGCTGGGGTGTGGGGGGCTGAGCTGGGCACACGAGTAAGGGCTCTGGCTTACTGGGAAACAGCGATTGACCTGTGCTTCTGACAGCCCCATGAGACACCTTGAGGAGGCCGCTCCTACCCAAACACACCCCACATCCCCCGCTGGACGGCATTGGATGAAGGGACAGCTGCTTGGGTTCTAATGCTCCTGCTCTCTTCTCTTTCCCCTCCAACCAGTTCAATCTCATCCCTCCCAGCAGCTCCCCTTCCACCCCCCGGGGAACTGAAGATTGTCCTGGCCGCGACCTGAGACCTCCATGAGTGGAGGGAAGAGTGATCTATGTCTCTTCCCCCAGCAGCTCGGACCAGTCCCAGCCCCCCAATCCCCCCTTTCCCCCTGGGGGAGCTGGGGAATTCCTGCCAAGCACCTTGAATGGGAGGGCTTCAATGTGGGCAGGGCCAGGGTCCAGCAGGGGTGGGGGGTTCCTGCTCTGCCCCTGCCCGTTCCCACCCAATCTTGCCCTCCCATCCTCTCATCTATTACCCCGCTGGAGATGGAAGATCTTTTATTTTCTATTATTTATAACTTCAGACTTGGGCCCCCCTGTTCTTTCTTTCCCATTAACTTGAGTGACCTGTGTGAGAGACAGACAGACAGATGCCCCATAAGGATGGTTGGACAAGGACTTTTACTTTTTATTACATAAAAAAATATTAAAAAATAAATAAAAAATAAAATTTTAAACTAACTTGCCTATAGTTTCCTCTTTGGAGACTAGAATGTAAGGTTATTGCTGTCTTACGTGTAGTTGGTATTTTCTTTCCTTGTAAGAATTGTAGCCAGTTCTAAATCTAGGATGAAGGGGAGTCAAATCGGGGTCTTAAGATATGCATTTGTTGGTGGGCTACAGAATTAATGTTCTCAGGTTGTGTAATTGATGACTGAAGCTCTGGATAACTGGATGGCCAAAGGTGTGTGAGGTGGGAGTCCTCTTCCCAAAATGGAGCCGTGTTGTAGTGTGGTCCCCAAGGATGCTGCCCCAGCTGGCTCTGGAAGCGTTGCTACCCAGGTCTTCCAACCTCCCAGTGACTGCGTCTCATCTCAAGGTTGATCTAACGTTTCAGCTGTAATGTAAAGACTTCATGAATTATGACCAGAACTTTATGCTTTATGTTGAAAGCTCTTTTAGTGTTTCTGGCCGTTATGATTAAAGGCCTGATTGATGAACAGCTGAGTTCTTGGGTGTAGAGGGCTATAAAGGTGAAGCTAGTGGAAGAGGGGAGGGGACTGGTTGGGGAGCCAGGTTTAAGGGAACAAGAGTTAAATTGGCAATTATGGATGGGACAAGATTGAAGCATGGGGTGAAGAAATGATAACAGGCTTCAGAGGAAGTGCTTTTTCGAGGAGGCAGCTTGAAATTCTCACTGAGGCCTAATGGTTTCCTTTTCTGTAAAGTGGAGATAATTACACCCATACAGGACGGAGGTTGTTGCTCAGTGGTAGGTAGGCGTGTTAGAGCATGGACAAAAGCCAGAGAAAATTGGCTGAGACTAGGGCAGAAAGAATATACAGGGTATGAGAATTTGAAACTCAGTGATAAGTGAGCATGCCGAGAAGAGGAGAGACTGTTAAGTTAAAAAGGATTTTATGTGGCAGCCACTTGACTGCTAAAAATGGACAGGCTTGGGTTGATTTCAGAACACAGGACAGGTGGGGGGGGCAGTATAGCCACTGGAAAGCTTTCAATTGGAGGTGCAGGTGGAGATAAGCATCTCTAGTGTGAAATGTGATTGCAGGTATTACTGAGCAGTCCTTTTTGATATTTTATGGAAGGATTACAGATTGGTTATAGTTTGACTTACACAATAGTCCCTCATCTATGGTGGGGTTATATTCCAAGCCTCCCATTGGATGCTGAAAACAGTTGATAGTATTGAACCCTGTGTATACGAGGTCTGATAATTAAGTTCGCAAACTTATCCTAGAAAAAGCGCTACCTGAATATCTGTGACTACGGATACCTTTGAAGTACTCCCCTTGGGAAGCTGTGCACCAACACAAGTGCTAGTCTGCCTATCAAAGCAATTTTGGAACTTTTCTGGAATGGTCATCAGAACTATTATCATACTACCCTTGATGTCCTGGATGTCATCAAAACGTCTTCCTTTCAATATTTCCTGTATATTCAGGTATAGAAAAAAGTCATCGGGGGCCAGATGAGGTGAGTAGAGAGGGTATTCCAGTACAGTCGTTTGGTTGATGCAAGAGCTCCTTCAGGACTGTTTTCACACACACCTTTCTCATGCCAATATTTTCAGTTAAGATTTTCCTGTTTCTCTTATTGGTGGTGGTTTGGTCTGCTGTGCATCTCACAGCTGATGATTTTGACACACAACTCTACAAGTTTTTGCAATATTTTTGTCAGTTCTGTTTGTTACTGGCTGGCCTGACCTCTCCATCAATGATGCGCTCTCCCCTCAGAAAAACGAGTCCATTTGTATACTGGCGCTTTCTTCATGGCATTATCCCCATAAACTTGGACTAACATGTCCCTGATTTCACTTCCTTTCTTGCCAAGTTGGATAAGAAATTTAACGTTTGTGGCTCTCATGTAAGCTCCAACATTCTCATGACGGCACACAAAAACATGCAATGAGTTGCCACTCAGCAAGACACTGCCACACGTTGACACAGACAGCATGTGAGACACCAAGGTTGTGAAACCTTATTGAGTTGTTTGTACACTACTGCTAATGTAGGTGCATGGTGGCAAGTTCAGGAACTTACTTGCCAAATCTTGAAGTTTGCTTTTTCCTATAAATACATACCTATGATAAAAATTTATAAATTAGGCACAGTACTCTTGTGCTTTGGGGCCATTACTAAGTAAAATAAGGGCTACTTGAATACAAGCTCTGCAGTTCTATTGACAATCCACCTGATAACTATTAAGTGATTAACAGGCAAATGGATGGCTCGTGTCTTGGGTGGGAGATACAGTGAGCTTGCGAGAAATTTCATCATGCTACTCAGAATGGTGCACATTCATTTCTGGAATTTTTTCATTTAATATTTTCAGAACAAGGTTGACTGCTGGTAACTAAAACTACAGATAAAGGAGCACTACTGTTTATTATCTTTGAGCAGAAATCTCAAAAGTTGAAAGGGAACCTAGCCCTCATCTAGTCAGGAATTTCCTTGTGAAACTTTTCATCCTTACCTTGAACACTGAAGATAAAATAGATCTGCCCTATCATTGGACAGTACTTTTTGCAGAGCTCTTACATCCTCCTCCTCTCTCACGTATTGCTCTTATTTTACCTCTGTTCGGAGGCAAAGATCAGGTTTGAGTCTTCTCAAAGCAGCTCTCAGGTTGGGCCCAAGAGCCTTCTTTTCTGGGTACTTGTTTCAGTTATCCTGGGTATATTCTTTTGTCAGGATGCAAGTATGAAAGGGGTACCCATTAATCCCTGCTGTTACTTTTGCTTAGGGTCAGCATCCTTGCCTCAGTCATTGTTCCAAGTTTTTGTTGAGTTGGAGTCTCATTCTGTCACCCAGATTTGAATGGCAGCCTCGACCTGCTGGGCTCAGGTGATCCTTCCGCCTCAGCCATCTAAGTAGCTGGAATTACAGGCACCTGCCACCATGCCCGACTAATTTTTTGGTTTGTTTTAGATATGAGGTCTTGCCAAGTTGTCCAGGCTGGTCTCAAACCCACGGGCTCAGGCATTCCTCTCACCTTGGCTTCCCAAGGTGTGCTGGGTTATAGGTGTGAGCCACCACACCTGGCCTCATTCCAAGTTTTAAAACATCCACTCAGCATCTTATTCCCTACACATTTAATAAATGGCCTTTTTCTTAATTTTAAATCTCAGTAAATGTTGGAAATGAAACTTCAATTTCTACTCCTAGGCTTGTAACTGGTAATAATGCAGTGATGACCCACTTCAGGAGGTGATTATTTAACTTGGCTGAGATTATGTACTTACCAAGTACCTCTTTATGCTGGGTCTTAGAGATAAAATACAGACATTTACTTCATTTTACTGCACTTCACAGGTCATGGCATTTCTGCAAATTGAAGGATTTGACAACACTGTCAACAGCACCATTTTTCCAACATGTATTTTTGAGGAAGAAAGTTTTTTAATTAATGTGCATAAAGTGTGCAGTGTCTTCTAAAACTATTGCACAATTAACAGACTATAAGTGACCCTTGAACAACATGAGCTTGAACTGCACAGATCTACTTTTGTCAGATTTTTCCAAATAAGTTGTACTGAGTGTCTGCCACCCCTGAGACAGCAAAACCAAACAAACCCTCTTCAGCCTACTTCATGTTAAGACAAGGATGAAGACCTTCCATTTAATGTACTTCCACTTAGTAAATACATTTTCTTTCCCTTATGATTTTCCTAATACATTTTTTTCTAGATTACTTTATTGTAAGAATACAGTATGTGTTAATTGTTCTCAGGCTTCTGGTCAACAGTAGGCTACAAGTCATTCTGAGGGAATCAAAAGTTATATGTGGATTTTGGGTTCCGTGGGGAACAGGGTAAGTGCCCCCTAATTCCCATGTTGTTCAAGGGCCAGCTATAGTATAAATACAACTTTTACATTCACAGGGAGACCAGAAAAATTTGTGTGACTGACTTTATTGTGGTGGTCTGGAACTGAACTACAAGATTTCCAAGGGATGCCTGTTCTGTCCCCACTATCAGTTTAAACAGGTAGCTAGACATTAACCCAGTAAGTACTCAATGAGGAAGGAAGTAAGGTGAGTTTGGTACCTGAGCTGAGCCCACGCTGGTTCCAAGTGATAAGCAAATTCCTTCCCAGTATCTCCACGGGGCTTACCCAACATCCTAATGCAGCACCTTGCTAGGCAATCACCCAAAACTCACTGGACTACATTTCTCCCTTTCTCAAGCTGTCTCAGCTGTAATCATGGTTTAAAAAAAGACAGCTTTTGGCTGTGCACGGTGGCTCAAGACTATAATCCTAGCACTTTGGGAGACTGAGGTGAGATTGCCTGAGCCCAGGGGTTCCAGACCATCCTGGACAACTTGGTGAGACTTTCTCTCTACAATATATCAAAAAATTAACTGGGTGTGGTGGCATGTGCCTGTATTTCCACCTACTTGGAAGGCTGAGGCAGAAGGATCGCCTGAGCCCAGCAGGTGGCTGTAAGCATGCCACTGTACTTCAGCCTAGGCGACAGAGTAATGCTCCAACTCAAAAATAAAATAAAAATTAAAAAAAGACAGCTTTTCCCATAGGCCTGTATCGTAGAGATGGCCTCTTGATGTTAGAGAGGAACTCAGTTAAAATGGCTCTGGGATCTCAAGATCAGTTTGGCCTCCAACACCCTTTTTGTCCTTCCCCCATCCCCATCCTCTCCAACTTACACAAAGGACACAAGACACACAGGGTAGCTTACTATTCACAGAACAGTTTATTGGCTTGCCTTACCTGGCAGGCCACCCCTGCTGGCCAGGGGAAGTGTCCATCTAGTTGCACTCTGCTGAGTTGCAGCCTGTGCTGTGCCCTCAGGGGGCACCAGAAGCTGGAGGGAACGCTGGCCAAGGCAGCCATAAACAGAAGAAAACCTGCGCAGAGGTCCACAGACTCAACCCCACTTGAGGTTCTTGTCCTCCTCAGTCATGGCTGGCGTATCCGTGACCAGGCCAGTGCCAATGGTCCGGTTGCCATCTCGCAGAGTGAAACGCTGGCCTTTCTCTAAGATCA